AAACTGGCTCTAGAAATATTATTTGGATCCTTATCACATATAACATGGCTAAATTAAGAATTAATGTTATCAGAGACCAAAATCGCGTTGATTGGAACAAGCGTTAACTGGACCAAGAAAATTCGCAGAGAGAATGGAGATAAAAAGAAGACGCCCAACGTGGGGCTCGAACCCACGACCCTGGGATTAAGAGTCCCATGCTCTACCGACTGAGCTAGCCGGGCCAAATGAAGTAACAAGGATGAAGAAAGTGTTCACTGTATGTTTGTTTTATCTGCAGCCTTTCATAACTATTCATTATCACGTATTATAAATCGTTTGATATTGTATACTTTCGAATTTCAAACGAGTGTTTAATTAGTTTAGTTAAGCTGTATTTATTAAATAACAGTAGTTTTAACTGTGTCAAGTTTAAAATGAAGCTAATACGTGTGTCTCTAGGAGAATATGGCACGCTTTTTTTCTTCTGAACTTCCTTTATTATATGGAGAAGAATCTTTCTAAAATTACTGCCATATCGTACCACTGTGAGTTTTTTCGTTATTACACTTCTGATACGGATAAAGCACACTTTCTTAAATTTCAAAAATAGCCCGAAATATAAAGCAATGTTTGTTCTTTGCGGATATATAATTGAAAATACGTTACGTTTAATGTGCAGAATGCTTAAATAGGGCTTGAATTGCAGAAAAACTGTGCGTCACAGAGATGTCAGAATATCAATGCGCAGTGTATTCTCAAAAACTTAACTCTTTTAATCTCGTTTTTATACATATCTTGAATAAATTCTTTTTACTTTGAATACTATCTCATTTCCTTCGTTGTCATTCTTAATCAATGACTAGCATTTAGATCATACGTACAAGGATTCTTTTGAAATATATGCTTGAATGACGGTTATGATGGTTTCCATTATTGTTGATATTAGTGCCTCTAGCTTTTTTTACACAGAAAGCAACTCACAATACGAAGCGTTTTTATAAGCGAAAACACTTATTATATCGTTGATCTAGGCAAACTATTCATTATAGGAGTAATTGTCTAGAATACCAGAAACCATGCTCTAACCCCATCCCTATCCTCCAATTTTAGGTATGAGTCATTGGGTGTAGGACACCGACTAATTGATTTTATCTCTCTCTCAAGGAATAGAATACAGATGTACTTGTTCGTACGAAAATAGAAGAACCATAAGCGAAATAAAACCGTTGTCTGCTTTTAGCCACAAATAAGGACTCCATATATCTAAAAGAAAATATGGACTGCTAGTTTCTGGTTCGTTCGTGCAGAATAGAGAAAAGAAGAAATTGACAAAGGTCGCTAATTTATAGCATTCGTTTTCCGCATTTGAGTGACATAGCGTTTCTCTTGTTTTAGAACTTAGCTATTTGTCATATATATTCAACATATCTTGCTTTGACAATTATTTCAGAGTTACTGATTTATGAAAAACTAAACTCTGCCTACAAACGTGAGTCTTTTGTGTTCTTTGCTCATATGCATATAAATAATTACCTGAAACAGCTGAATTTTTATATAAATTACAATTATAAGTTGACCCGATATAGGCATGCACCGGTTTCGGTTAACCGAAACCGAACATAATAGAAAACGATCAGTGATTTCAGTGGTTCCGGAGGAGGCCGAAGTGCTGGTAGCCTCACCGTACCACCAGAGCAACATATACCTGGTGCCTCTCCAGGCCACTTGAGAGCATCACAATATGAGCAAACATCGGTCATTTGTCCAATATGAAGTTGAGGATGGCTGTCGTAGCTGTTAGCTGGATCATAGCGAAACGCTTCCCCTTCCATGAATGTCCAATGTACTGCTCT